AGAGAGAGAGAGAGAGAGAGAGAGAGAGAGAGAGAGAGAGAGAGAGAGAGAGAGAGATTCACCTTGCTTCTTGAAGGCCCGGCTTTCTCTGCTACCGGCCGCAAGAGATGAGCGAGGTGTCCACCAGATTGAATGTTACAGAGTGACAAGTTTGATGAACGTTGATAGGTAGCTACTAGCTAGCACAGGCAGCGAACGAGCAGTGTAGGTGCCCTAGTCGACGAACATTCATAGGTAATGCCCTTCCCTTTATACTTGTAACCCTTTATACTTGTGTTACTTTGTGTAGGGGCGCTACGAGGCCACTGCCTAGAAGGCTAGAAGAGACGTTAGACGAGAGAAGAGGGAGGAGGGAGGAGGGAGGAGGGAAGAGGGAAGAGGGAAGAGGGAAGAGGAGAGGAAAGTAGAGAATAGGAGAGGAAGCTGAAACGTGGAGGGGGTCTGCTCCCTGGAGAGCGAGTAGTGATGATACGAGAGGAGAAGAGAGGAGAGGAGAGGAGAGGAGAGAAGAGGAGAGGAGAGGAGGGAGATTGGCAGGATTGTTTTCTTTTTTTTTTTCCTTCCTTCCGAGAGTAGGGGCATTGTGCGGGGCCGAGGTCCCACTAACAAAGAGGATAGAATCAAGCTCCTGAATCTGGATGTGATTTACGCAGAGATACAGAAAAGCAGTTCCATCTCCATTTCCTGCACCTCTCCACAAACACGTCCAGATTCAGGCATTCGATCGGATCCTCTTTGCTAGTGGGGGACCACGCCCCTGTCGATCGGACTCCATGTGTATTACGGTCTTCCTCCGAACATAACGCAGCATGATAATGAATGCATACAAGCTATATTTCAGGTCAGGTGCAGCCATAATGAGGGTGCGTTGTGTTTCGGGGGAAGACTGTAGACGCTTGTCGGTCGCCCGAACAACACGTCAGCATTAGGTTCTCTCTCGCCTTTTTTTTCTTTCCCTCCCCCCCTCCTCCTCCTGGGCCGAGGTCCCACTAGCAAAGAGGATCGGATTAAGCGGCTGAATCTGGATGGTTTTTAAGCAGAGATACAGAAATGCAGGTCCACCGCCATTTTCTGCACCTCTCGACAAACACGTCCAGATTCAGGTGTCAAACTCGATCCTCTTTGCCATTGGGACCTCGCTCCTGTGTTCATTTCTCTGTATTATATAACAAATTTGTGTTCATTTCTTTCTTTCTTTTTCTTTTTTCTTTTTTTTGTGTTCATTTCTCTGTTTTATCCAACAACATTTCAAAACAAAAACGGAACAAAAAAAAAAGAAAATTTGTGTTCATTTACTGAGCTTGGATGAATGTTGTGACAGCCTTGCGTGATTTGTGTTCCTCAGGGCATACTCACGCTTACCGAGTAAATCATGATGTATCTGACGGCAATTACGGCCAGAACTGGGATGCATCAGACCGTAACCACGTCTAGAACGCAGTCAAAAATTTCCCATTCCGAATATGCCCTCAACCTCGGCAGGTATATCTGTAATCCCCAAATAAAAGAACCAAAAGAAAAAGAAAAAGAAAAAGAGAAAGAAAAAGAAAAAGAAAAAGATACATTTTTGTGATGGAGCTACCTAGACGCAAGATTGCAGAAAATCGGCTTAAAAAATAAAATCAAAAATAAAAAATAAAAAATAAAAAATAAAAAAAAATCGGCTTCGATATTTAGAAGGGGGGGCGCGCCCGGGCCGAGGTCCCACTAGCAAAAAGGACAGGATCGAGGTCCGGAATCTGGATGTCTTTTAATCACAGATGCAGAAAAGCAGTTCAATCTTGATTTCCTGCACCTCTCCATAAACACGTCCAGATGCAGGCATTCTATCCGACCCTCTTTGCTAGTGGGACCACGCCCCCGGATTTTGGGTTCGGCCCCAAGCAGCATCCATCAACTCTCACCGGCCAAAAAAAAAAAAAAAAAAAAAAAAAAAAAAAAAAAAA